CACATACTGCATGTATAACGCTCCTTCCATTCAGTGAAGACCTGAGGATCCATCTTGAAGAGTTATTATTCTCACATGTGTGATCGGCAAGAGCTGTAACAACTGTTGATGACTTTTTAATGGTCTGATAAATGTAAAATAACAACAAATCCACTTTAATGTTGGAGCTGTGATTTATGTCCACAGAGATTGGAGAGTCACACTCCATGAAATTATTTCAGCTGAATCAAACTGAATTCAGTTCAACTTTATTCAATTTTATTTTTAAGCGCCAAATTACCACAGCAGGTGCCTTAAAATACTTGTAAAGACCTTACAATAATACTGAGAAAACCCCAGAAACCGGGCACCGCCTGTCAGCATGCACTCGGCGACAGTGTGAAGGAAAAACTCCCTTTTATCAGAAGAAACGTCCGACAGAACCAGATTCAGGGAGGGGCGGCCATCAGCCGTGACCAGCTGGTGGTGAGGGGAGGGAGAATTTGGTTTAGCATCTATACGGTAAATAAATATTACGCAAAGAACTAAATGCAGTATGGCCGAGTATTTTGCTTCATTTGCTTCATTTGCTTCATTCAGTATTGTGGGATTACGAAAAAAGCTATCAAACCTGGATTGTTAGATCATGAATTAACTGTGGTTAACCACAAAAAGCATCAAGTCATGCTAGCTTTAGTTGGACATTTACTTTTTCATATATAGACAAGTAGGTTTGGATAGCCTCAGGTTATCACTCAGGTTATCTGTCTATTATTGTCATTTAGATTTATTGTTAATAGAGTTATATATTATATCACAACAGTGCGACAGCAGTTCTGTCCATGTTCCCATTAAGTTTTTTATAAAAGAGAAAAAAACACTGATTCCAGTTTCAGTGTGAATGTTGTAAAGCCAGGAGTCAGTGCCCAGTAGAGAGCAGTTAATTGACATCGACTGTTGCATGTCTATAGGACACCAATAGAGCCGTGGCTCTCCTGCTGCCTAAGTGCTGCTCAGAGAGCACAAAGGCTGCTGGGTTTGAAAAAGCTGCCTCAGTGCATGAATGCTAATGGAATTGATTTATACCTCCATTTCCTCCACAAGGGAGACTTGTGGACTTTTATTGCAGAGGGGGAACCAAGACCCTTCTGTGTGCTCAAAAGTGTGACGAGGTTGAAATCGTAGGAGGCAACTACAATCATGATTTGTAGTTGCCTCCTACGAGTCCAGAGCTGTTATGAAAATCCACTGGGGAAATGACTGTGAGAATATAGTGGCACACACAGAGACAGATGTTGGTGGTTTTGGGTGTGTTTTAATTTATTTTTAAAACTTTTTAAAACGTATGTAAAGTGAAAGAGAAAATCTGTCCTGTCTTTTCTTTAACAGTGATCTCAGTTAGCGTACTAGTAATTTCGCAGCCTCGACTCTGGTGAAAATAGAAGAATATATGGGCTTTCTCTGAGTTAAGCTTGAGGAAATGCTTTGAATACATCTTTGCTTCATTTGGTGTTGTGAATGACTCCAGGTAACTTTAGAAAAGACATTTAGTCCATTTTTTATTCAAAAATTTGAAGGTTGTATTTAGTTGTTAATCTTAATATATTGCTGTTAATGCCATTTTAAATACTAATAATAACAACCTGTCAAGGGATGGGAGTATCTATGCGTGAAGAGCCGGCAGAGCATAAATTGCTCAGCATCTGTTGGAACAGACAGTAAGAAAGATTTTTCCCCATGTGCACTGGAAACCACATGTGGTTTCTGAAGTTCAACAGAATGCATCCAAATTGCCTGCTTTATCACACAAGTGAAAATACTATTATTTATGGATAAATTAACGTGTTTGTTATTCTTGTAAAAAAGCTGTGTATTTCTGAAAACGCACGGCAGCGCTGCAGAGAAGAATGAAGAATGTCAGCATACCTTTACCAAGTGGAACTTGCTGATGCATGAGTGGGAGGTACATAAATGACAAGCCTTGAACAGTAAATGCTAAAATGTGATGCTTGTAACCTTGTGGGCAATCAACATTAGAAATCCAAAATAGTGAGATAAGGAATAAACTCAGAAATGTCAAAACACATTAATTGAATAATTTGGTTTTACTTTCTGCCTGCTTTCTGTTCCCAAATTAAAACCAGCGCAAAAGTCGGGCGCCATCCCTCCTCGGCATTCCTTTATTATCTTTTCAGTGGATTTGTTTGATGTTAAAGGTCTGCTGTTACCCGTAAACCCATTATCACAGACGCACTTATGGCAACCAGTTTGCTATGAGAGATATGCCATTTGCATCTCTTTGATGTCTATGTACTCACTGTGACACGATCACAAGTCAGGTCTGCCTCCAATCACGATTTGAACGACAAACTGCATTCTGTTTACAGCCCTTTTCGCTTTTATTGAATAGATGTTGAAATTCCTTCTGAGAAAAAAAAAAGTAAAAAATGCACAACAGTCATGTTGAGATGAAAAACAGGTTTGACTGACACAAACAGTAACATGTGAAATACATTAAAGGTTTTTGCACATACTTCCTCAACGAATGCCATGCAATGGGATATGATCCATGACGGCAGGCCACGTCTCAGAGTCACAAAGCGGGGATGATCCCGCCTCCCAGAAACACACTACATGACTCTACCACTCCTTCCATATATTGTTTTCTTTTTTTCTCTTGTACACACAGGTAGCTAAAGACTTGCTGCTGTACTGTTTGAATGCAGAAACACAAGACGATGAAAAATCATATGAAATCACTTTATTCTCAGTGTGCGGTGATTCCATTTTTGCAGGAAAGTTACAGACCGAAATATTAGTCTAAAATGGCATGCAGTGAGGCTAACAGGTGGCGCTTTGAAACACAGAGAGGACACGGAACGATTATATCAACAACCTTGCCTACATCGCACACCATAAGCATGCATACATGTTGGTCAACAAATAGGGAGCTACAGAGAAAGAGAGAGAGAGAGAGGAGGGGGGTGAGAAGATTTTGCAGTACAAAAGAATACACTAAATGAACATGTTTTTTTTTTCTCTCAAAATATCAACCACCAGAGGACAGGACCGGCTACAGACAAGAAAGAAAAACATACTGCACCAGACTAAATATCTTCTCAACAAGTACAGAAAAGAGAGAGACAGATGCAAGAAGAGAGAAACGTCAGACAGTTACATTCAAGTCACATCAAAAGATTTTTTTTTTCTTTTTTGTGCCATGTTTTTCAGGCAGCTTTTTAAATTCTATCAATGGCTGTATGAGTGGCACAAATGACTGACTGGGTGTCTGATACAGTCTACTGGACAACAGGATATTGATTACGCATGACTTGGGCAGTTTGTTTAGGCAGTGATCAAAAAGCCATTTGGAGCGCAATCAACCGACATTTACAAGATGATGATGATGATGATGATGATGATGATGAATGAGTCCATGATTATGTCAGTGGATGAGAAGCAAAGCTTGATCTGATTTCAGAGCACACTCACTCATAGCCTGAAGGAATGCACGCGCTAACGACGTTTGCGAAGGTGTTGTCGTCCTTTGCAGGGGCAGTAATTGTAGCTTTCTAGATTATTTTCTGGGCCAAAAAAAGAGATATTTCACTCATAAAGAAAGACCGTAGCTATAGGCTTGCTAATCCGCTAGCAATGAAAATATAAAATTCTTTAGCCGAGAACCCAATGAGACTCTAAGTGAAGGCTAAATATGTTTAACGTCTATGAAAAACATTACTAGAATACCTGAGAATTTTAAAATAAATCAGATATGCAGGAACTAAATGGGAATGACACCCCTTGACTAGGTCTAATACTACCAGCACTATTCTTTGGTTTGACTGAATAACTGCTGTGATGATGGATTTGAGTGCATGAAACATCTACTGGCTTCTAGCTAGCTGCTAACACACTGTAGGAACAGAGGCTGGCAAAGGCAGTTTACAGGTACAATAAAATCACAGGAAGTTCAATAAATGTGCTCTACAGATGATCTTACCACACTGTGCCATTTGATTTTGTTTTAACATATTCAGGGTATATATGTATATATTCACCATGATTACAGAGCTCACAAAACACAGAGAGAAGCTAAATTTCCCTTTCTCTACGCCACAGAAATACACAAGATCAGAATTAGTGTCATTTCATGGTTAGCTAGCTTAATAAAAACAGTCATAATGTGGCGAAACAGCTGGTTTTGAAAACCCTAATTTAACACCTACCTATGGCTACTGTGCACAAGTATTTTCCAAAAAAATTTAACCGATCACTGCAAAAAGCACATTTATGATTTCCCCTAGACTTCATGCGGGACTTTTCCTAAATGGCAGCTAATATAACCTCTCCGCAGCAACATTTTAGTGCCATTAATCAGATTCAGTCTAGATAAATTTTGCGGTTACAGCATCAAATTTAAGTTATTCATTGTGATGTACTTGTAGGCTGAAAAGGCATTTACTGAGGTGTAGTGTAAATCTAAGTTTGCGTGTTACCAGCTCGAGTCTGGTGGAATGTCTGAAATATCTGGAATGTTTAACAAGACACTGGGAATGATGGAGAAATTTAAAGAAAAGGCATGAGGAGGATATATTTATTCCGTCCTCATTTGTTTTTAAATTTGTGCTATTACAGTTACCTGCAAGGCAGAGTAAACTGTAAACTATAAACAGCAGGTCAATGTTATTTTTTCAAGATGCCAAGGATGACTTTGATTTGTTAATGTCTGCTTGTAAAAACCTGTAGTTTGTAACTGAACACAAACCCTGGATGCCGTATGTCACGTGGATGAACACTTCTCACAACATTAAACGAATCATCCCACTTTCTCTCTTCCTTGTTTTAAGTAAATACCTCTGACCAATGAACTCTTAAGTCTCGCTACAGTAAGTAGCCACCCTCGCGTCTTTAACATCAACTAACATTAGGGATTAACTTCAAACACACAACAATGAAGATTGTCTGTTATTGCTGATTTGGGACTCGACTCCCATCAGTTAAACCAACGGACACGAGACAACTTCATTTTGAACAATATATTGCACTATTGTCACTGTCTGTTCACATATAGTGTATTCACAACATAGTTGTGTTTGGGAAGTGTCTTTTTAAAAAGTAAAATGATGAAAGTGTTAGCACGATTCAAAATTAACAAGCCTGGCCAAACGTTTACATTTCCTATTACAAAAAGCTGAGTGTGCAACACCACAGAAGGAAAAGAACTTTGTTTTTTTAAGCCTCAAACATGTATAGCCAGTGACTTTATAGAATTTAAGGATTTCATCTTACTCTTTTTAAGACAAACTTTATGGAGAACATTTATAATTTCCACCATGGAAGAACGTTTTAGACACAAAGTCAATTATCGCTTACTGTACACGGTGGTGGATGAGACGTTAACTAAATAAAAATGGAAAACCAGTTATTGCCTCAAATTTTCAGTGTATTTTGCTTCATCATAACAAAGGAAATGGTATCCATATATGTACTTCACAACTTTACTGCATGCTTAAAAAGTAAACAAAACAAAGCAAAACAAAAAAGTTTCATTTCAACTGAATTCCTTCACTTTTGAGTTTACAGATGTATTGGCTTTGCCAGTGTTCGTACTACACATTTACATTAAAACAGTGAGAACATATGGGACAGTTTGTGGGAATGATCCTAACCAAGGAGAACCAATAAAAATGCAAGTATATATACACTGTATGTATCAAATATTAGCAAGAACATAACAGGACGATTCAATTAAATTTGATATGATTTGGATCATTTCTTACAAGTTAAAAATATGGCTTATACTCTTAGTTATCTTGTTATACGTCATATTTCACTGATATATAGTACTCTTTTTATATAACCGAGGCTATTTACAAACAAAAAGGGTGGATGATGGGTGATATCTGGTCGTATTCTAAGTGCTGGGCATTTTGAAAACATGGCATCAGTTTGCCTTAAGTAAAGACATTCGATCTGTGTAGGTGTTGCATACTTTTTAAAACACGATAATAATCACAGGTTATCAAGAAAGATCTCTGTCAGAGATATTAAAAAGTATGAATCACTGTGAGATCAGAAAGTTTAACTTAAGGGCAAAATCACAGCATGTTGTGTAATTCCAGGACACTTAGAAGTTGAGTTGACTGGGTGGGAGGGAGGTGAAGAAAGGTGTGGCTGCAGCTGGAGGTGGGGCAGGGTGGTACAGCATTGATTAGATGGACATTGTAAGAAGTTAACCATTTTCCTGCCAGAACGCTGTTACTTTTTATTGAACATATCCATGAGTGGTGCAGGGATGAATTTCATGACCGTATCCACGATGCTCTCTTCTTCCTCCTCATCGCCGCAGCCAGCAGGAACTGCTTTTTTCGGGCGGGTGAGGCTGCCCTCGGAGGCCTGCTCCATAGCAGCTGCTGCCTCGGCTTCCTTCTCCTCCTTCTTCTTGATGCCATACTGCACGGTAAAAGGGAAAACAGGTAAAAACAAAAAATAGTTAGAAAATGAACACCCTGTAGAGGTTGCAATCAAGACAGAAGCAAAGGATGTTACCATAAAACCACCAAATCTGTACAGGTAGGCTAGATGGATGAGTTGACAAAAAATTGAATTTTAGCATAATTCCTTTAAGTTCATGTAGTCAGTTTTGTTACAATGATGAAAATGGTTCTTTCAGTTGAATAAAGTCTATCCTTCAAGCTTGGATCCTCTACCAGAGGCCTGGGAGCTTGAGAGTCTTGCGCAGTATCTTAGCTGTTCCCAGGACTGCGCTCTTCTGGACAGAGATCTCCCGATATTGTTCCTGGGATGTGCTGGAGCCACTCGCCTAACTTGGGAGCCACTGCACCTAGTGCTCCGATTACCACTGGGTCCACTGTTACCTTCACCCTCCACATCTTCTCCAGCTGTTCTCTGAGCCCTTGGATTTTCTCGAGTTTCTCGTGTTCCTTCTTCCTGATGTTGCTGTCATTCGGAACCGTTACATCTATCGCTACGGCCGTCTTTTTCTGTTTGTCTACCACCATCAAGCCCGGTTGGTTAGCCACCACCATTAGGGGTGTCTCCCATTTTGACCTCGGGACTTCCAGGCCATACTTGGCACAGATGTTTCTGTATGCTATACCGGCCACTTGGTTACAGCGTTCCATGTATGCCCTGCCAGCTAGCATCTTGCACCCTGCTGTTATGTGCTGGATTGTCTCAGGGGCATCTTTACACAGCCTGCACCTGGGCTATGCTTCATGCATGAAACAACACCCCATTCTCATTCACATACTTCCACTATGTGTCAAACCCGCTTGAGTCTCACAAGATACACAAAGTGTCCTTTGTTGTTGAGTTGTGTTGCCTAAACATAACAAAGCATTGACCAAAATTTCTAAACAGAACAGTGTCCTGACTGACAAACTTAAGCCTTTCCCTACCACAACCCCCTCAAACTCCTATTTACCTAATTTGTTCTGTTCTTTGTTACCAGATGAAGGAGCTCTAAAATCACTCAGCATCTGATATTAGTATGGAGGGTTCAAAAGACACCTATGACAGCAAGATCTGACAGCAAAGCTGTATCTGATGACAAGGGATTAGAATATGCAGTTTTATTAAATTTGTATTAAATATTTACCAACCAACCTGCATAGTTAAGGCCAAAATTCTTCACCAATTATGATCAACTAATTTTGTCAAGAACTTAGGGATAGAAATATGAATGAGTAATAAATTTCATTGTTACATTTCATTAAGCAGTATATTTGCCTCTTTTTAAACTCAACCCTTTATAAAGTCTATTCCTTCTGTCAATTAGTGTCTGTCCAAAAACGTATTTATTCTATTTGTAGACACAGGGCCTTAAGCTAGTTAATTGTTTTTTTGTTTGTTTTGTTTTTTGCTTTAAAGGCTTGCAGAGAAAACTAGGATTCACTTTAAAATATCAGTTTCTTTTAAATATAGGAACATAAAGACATGAATATTTCAAGCAATTCCAGGAGGTGGTGACTGGTTAAAGCAATAAGTATTCTTATAAAGTAACAGATTTCTTAATTTGCATGGTTTAGCTTGAGGCTACACGCAAATTAGGCTAAACACAATGTATACAGCAACCTTTAGGTCCTGTTGCAACTGATTTCTGCAATTAGATGCAGAAAGAAGTTCAGGTTCTTGTTTTATTTTTGGTTATGTTTTTGTGGGTGTATATGGAGGCTTGAACTGCTGCTAGCTCTAATTTAACCTTCCTGGATATTTTATATAGCAATTACAGAGGCAGAGGCACTTGGCAGGTGTCCTGGACAAGGTTTGCTTTTAAAAAGCCCATTTTTAAGACTACTACTAAATCAAGAGTATGTTTGGAGAACAACAAGCTTGTTAAAACATTAAAGACATCAGCTGGGAAATGCATTCCACTAGTAAGTCCACTGACACAGCCATACTGTAATGTCTGTGAACAACTGCATTGAAGATAGTATGGAAATGATTTTGTATTTTATGAGTGATATGCCCATAACTAACCAAACACTGTGACAATATGACATGAAACATGAAACAAACAAGTCCAGACAGGCTGAAATAATTCATCGTTATTTCAACACGTTAGTTCAAGCACCACAATTGAACCTGAAGCTTTTATGAATTCAGAATAGATGGATAGATTGAATTTGTTGCCATACGGAAACTAGGATCCTGACCTCAATTTCTGCATTAAACCTGAGGATCTGTGTCCAGTTTTGTGTATTTTGTGCATTTGTGGTCATAGATTGAGAAAAATCAATACAGGAGGACTGCAAGGAAAAGGTTGCAGTGCACGGGGAGGTCAGCGGGCCGAGTGATAGTTGATCTTGAGGCAGGGAAGGGGAAAATGAGCTGCACTCCTCCATGACCTCTTGACTGCTTTGCCAGGCACACACTAATGTGATTCTGTGGCAATAAATATCTTAGAGGAGGAGTCGCAGTGTCCATTTCCACTGCAGAGAGGAACACAGGGCATAAGTGGGTATGTCTGTGGAGTGAAGCTGTACGACTGTTTGAGGGAACAACAGCTGAAAAAAAACTGTTGCTTTAAATATTTTTTGTTTTTTGCCTTCATGACTAAACCACTCTTTTGTCAAGATCTTATGTTTTTTCTCTTTGAGGTTTGAGGCTCAAAGACTTAATTACAGTTTAAAAAATGAAAAGACAGGCCTAAATCAGGTATCATAAGGAAAGAGTGGGAGTCGACCCTGGACAGGCCAACAGTCTATCACAGCACTAGCACAGCGACAGACTATAAGTCACATTTATGGCTGATTTGGATTAGCCAACAATGATTTTAGACATTATTTTTCAATTATACCGCATACTAAATTGTGTTTGATTACAATATATTATTTTAGGCTAGACTGGCTCAGATCAGGCCAACAGAAGAATCCTTCAGAACTGTTGAATTGTAGGTTTTCATTTCCTCGGTTCAGTTAAATCCACCGATTTTCAGAAACAGCATCAAATACTGATGTTTTGTCACATCTCAGCCTTAACCATCAAATGGTGAGGAACGACATCAATGCTAAAGGACAATGTTTGTGTATCTTTAGGTGGGTCAAACTCACAGCTCATCGGGTGTATTTGCTTGTAAACAATCCCTTGCATACATACACTGGGTAATATGCAATGTTAATGTTAAGTTAACAGCTTTTCCAAAACCTAACCAAATGCTTTAGGTGTCTTAAACTAAGAGGTGTCTTAAAAACAAAAAGAAAAAAAGAAAACCCAAGTGAAAATTAAGCAAAACAAAAACATGAAACTTCCATATAGGACACAAACTGCAGTCCCTAGCAAACGTTTGACTCACTCAGCCCCTCCAGGCTGCAAACGGACTGTCAGAGGTTGAGTGGTTGGTGGATGTTGTTGCCATTTTAAAGAATGATGTAATCTCTCAGCACTGATGCTTTCCTGTGTCCTCAGTAGTACATATGAGCATAGATATCATGTCGACTGCTTTACTGACAACATTTTATATACCAGTAATAATTCATAAACTGTCACAAATCTTTCAGTACCAAAAGTATATTAACACTCCAGCTGCTGCAGTTGGAAAATGTGGGAATCCTCATATACATATCTTCAACAATGACTATTTTAAAGATGTGACTATGAAGAAAAGTTTAACTTCAGCAAGATCGAGAAGCTAAATATTTTTTGACTGGTTGGAGGGGTGTATCTTACTTCAGTACCTAAGAAATATTTCTTCTGAATTTCCGACAGAAATAAAACAAACATTGGTGTAATTGGTTGATGTAGCTCTCTTCTATAACTCCCTCTGTTTCCACTCGGTCTCTCTTTCTTTTTTAGACTTGTTCCACAGTAACAAAGACTTGCATCAGTTGAAATGAACAGCCATGCTTAGTCAGCCCCTCTCACCTTGCTATAATCAAACGCTTCCCAAAGATATGCTGTCATATTGCTCTTTTTTGAAAGAGCGAGAAGGAAAAGTGCTGGGGCTCAGCAGAGTTTAGAGTTGATCCCCAAACTCCAAACATAGTTTTATAAGAGCTACACATAGAAAAGTTTCAGTCTCTCTCAGGGCATTCAAGTCAAATATCTAATGCATTATTAGCAGTGTCAAGGGTAACCCTTCCCGGCAAGCTGCAGACACTTTGATCATCATATCTTATTACAGCTTAATCAAATATTAATTTAGACATTATCAAAGCCAGAATTATCTTGGTGACATAAAAAGGGCCACTAAGTCAAGAATTTCCATTGAACTTTGAAAATGAACTCCAGAAGGGAATATGTTTAAGGATCTATATCCAGTAATTTAAAAAAAAAAAAATTAAGAGTGCAGAGTTTTAAATCAAAACAGAAGGACTAATATATAGTCCAGTTTTTTAAACCTCCATTCTCCATTAGCTAATTCATTTGAAAGTGCAATTTGCAGTATAAAGCTTGATTTATAGTACTTGTTGAATCCTAATAGAGGCTGATGCTGTTGATTATATTTGTGCAATGGTCTCGCTGCACTGTTTTGTGACCATGAGTGAAGCTGAGCTGTTTATGACGGGCCTGAAGCTAATCGGTCTCGAACAACAGTCACCAAAATGCAAGAGATGTTTTTTTAGAGCCGATTGAATTTATTGCAGCCAGTGTATAAAAGATGGATGTAACCACCATGACTTCACCCTCTGGTTCTGACCCTGCAGTTTGAAGCCTCAGTATGTTTATCACTATGTTTTTTTCTTTGTTTTGTTTTTTGAGTCAGATGTTGCAGTTTTTGGATCAGAAAGGGTAAGTGTTGAGTTATTAGCCAATATCACCTAGACTGGTTTGCAGCCTGGATTCATGGCCCTGTGTGGGCTGAACACAGACACATATATCACTGACGACTTTAGTTAACAAAATAGTAAAACCAAAACTGAAGCACAAACTTCTGGACAGTCTGTACCTCATCACAAAAACAAATATTTCTCAAATAATTTCATTACAAAAGCTCAAGCAGCATAAAATGAGCAGAAAGGTCCAGATCAGTGACTCCAACTGTCATCAAACACATGCAAAAAGTGCACGTTTTTAAGGAAGCCTGAGGAAATGCAGGTTTTGGGATGTTGAGTTTGATGCTTGGTTTATAGACATGTTAGCAGAACTATACGAGAAGCAAAAGCAGCATCTCTCTACGACTAAAGCCAATCCCACTTTGTTTTACAGAAGTTATATTTGTTTTTTTTACACTGTTTCTATTCTCTCCTTGTCCAATTTAGGGTCAGTCGGAGGCTAGAGCCTATTCTGTCTAGGGCAAGAGGCGGGGTATGCCCTAGACAGGCCAGTCTGTCACAAGGCTAATACAGACAAACGGGCAAGTGTTCATACTCACATTCACAGCTAACGTCAATTTAGAATCACCAGTTAACCTAACCCTACTACTTGCATGTGTTTGGACTGGGAGAGAAAGCTGGGGAGTACCCGGAGAAATGACACAATCTCCACACAGAAAGGCCCCGGACAGGTGGCGGAGCTGAACTCACGACCTCACGACCTTCTTGCTGTGAGGCTGTAACCATGCTGCCCAAGTTTACATTGCATATTTCTACTAAACAGACCTGTTTGTAAGCATGTATAACAGCTGAACAGCAGTTTGTTTAGTCTGTGGACTGGATAACAGTTTAAGAACAATGAGAGCTCTTTGAGCATGATTAACTCGTGAGGCTCTATTAGTATTGAAGTTTACCTTATCCCTGATGCCCTGTCGGATGTTTTCTCTCTCTGCCTCCATTCTTGCATATTTGGCCTTCCTCTCCTCTTCCTGTTGCCTCAGCGCTTCTTGTCTTTCCTCTTCTTTTTTCTGAGCATCAGGGTCCTTCTCCTCCTCTCCACCAAGCATCTTGCCCATGTCTTTGGTGGCCCCTGTTGTTGGTAATAGACAGAAAGAAATTGTGAAATAAAAGAAATTCAGTCATTTCTTTTATGGAGTGACACTGGCAGTTCATAGTGATTGCACATAATAGATCACAGCTATCGGGCTGGTTTTCAACATCTGATGTGCCCAGCATTACATCTGAAATCTGGATAATTCAATAGATACTGCTTTGTATTTAAATCCTCTCTCAGGCCAGTGAAAGAGCAGCACTTGACTGAACCAAAGACAAAAGGGTCTGACAATAGAGAGAACAAGAGGTGAGCAGCACGAAGAGAGCTGAGATAAAAGACTGTAATAAATTATTAGCAATTCTCTTGATTGCCTTTGTGCTGCTCATTTTGGCCCTTTACTATCTCCAAGAGGAATTTAGATACAAGCGCCCACTTGGACCATGGGTTAAGACCAGAGAACAAAGGGCATGGGGAGCAGTTGAAGGGACAATAACAATCAGACACAGGGGCTCATTCTGCTACTGACGTCTGAACTTATTAAATATGTAAAAACTGAGGATGGAGAATGTGGTAAAAAGATCTTCTGTGCTTCACAGCTGGCTGCTGAAGGTTTAACCAATGTGTATCTTATCTGTTCAATTTAAATGCTGCTTATCTTGGAAATTAAACATTCTATCACTGATCTGTATCTTAAATGTGAATGTTTGTCAGCGATGTTTACGTGGCATTAATGAAACACCTGATTCTGAATTTCGGGAAGTGTAAAAAAGAATAGAGAGAGAGAGATGCCAGAAAGTCTTTTTAATGAGGTGCTCTCTTGATGAAGGCTGGATTATCGAAAGTCCTGCTGGTGCTAGCAAAGCTGCAGCAGGCACTGACATACTGCTCTATCTGGACCACTTCTTTTGTGTATGTGTGTGTGTGTGTGTGTGTTAGTGGATTATCTGGTGTGTGTGCTGCAGGCGTCAATTGACATTCCTCATACGTCACTATATGGCCAGTGTGTTTATTTCCACCCCAGCGCCTCTTGGAATCATTCTGTAATTTACATCAAGCTTCAGCCAAGGAACACGCCTGCCTTTGTAGAAATACACGGGATGTAAGTGTCTGAACATTAATCACACACGGCAACCGTGAACTTTTTATAGGAAGAAAGAATATTAAAACATTGGCTTTGGAAAAAAAATGCATTAAACATGCCAGCTCCACACTGTCAAAGCTGTCAGAGCTCAAAGTAAGCCAAATACTGCGCTGGAAATTGATCAAATAAAAATATCTTCCACACAGATCTTTGCCCCTGAGAGGAAATATTTTGTTTGTTTTCCATTTGATTGTGTTTTAAAAGGTATGATTACTGGCCTAAGATACAAATCCATCCAGGAAAACATAACACTCACTGGTATTGATGCTTTATGCTTGAAATGGTGCCCGGGGTCATTTCAATGTTAAGCAATTCAGCTAACCAGTTCACGACCCTTTTAGTGTCCTTCAGGATGAGTGTCCCACAGTCTTATTCACACTCAGAGCAACAAGAATGTTGGTTTAAAAACCCTCCGCTATCATCCTTAAAGTGACAATCACTTGAAAAGCCAAAGATCAAATCAGGAAGTTACCCAGGCTAATCCTGACTGTCAGTCTGCATGTTGAGCTGCTCCCGAGGTGCTTTTGCACACTGGCTTAACACGGAGCCCAGCCTGTATGTGCGGACTCCAGAGGCATTAGCTCTTCTTTCCGGCTCGCTGGCTGGAAGCAAGCCAGCACTCTAACAGTGGTCTGACGAATCTTGAACCCATGACTCTCTGCTCACTTCCAACTTGAAAGAAGGGAATTGATTTTAATGAGAACTGGACCTTTGGACATGGGTAAATTTGAAATACACTCGGTTCTCCCTCTGCCCTTGGCCCAGCGTACTTGCTTTCACTGTTAGGGCTTTTGCTTCCTCCACCGCTCTGGGCTTGACTGTAAAGCTGAGCTTCACTGGTTCTCTGGAGGAAACACTCAAAGACTGAGCCATCTGTTTAGGCGGTGAAATTGATGAGACAGCGATGACCTTAAGGTTCTTGGCTGTAGTTTGAGCTTGCCATATTGACATACCAGTACAAGCCCCAGTCGTTACTCATAAAGCGCAGGGTGATTGCTAATTAATGTTTCTTCACGGTAACTCTTTAATGTCTCTCACACATGGCATGCTGTCATATTGAGAAGGTAGTGCATCATCATTGATATCTGTGAGATTTTATGATATACATGTCAAACATCTGCTTGCACAGTGAGCAAACGTGAGCCCTTTAAAGGCAGTCTATGTAAAGTCTTATTTTGATAGTTTTATCTCTGCTAACCAGGTGGCACGTTGCTTTTGATAGTCCTCAGCGTCATTCAGCTGCCTCTTCAGTAAGCCTCCTCGTCTCTCAGTGACCGCAGACAGACTCTCTATGCCATCTTGGGCAACTTGTTCTTGTGCTCTCCAGCCTTGGGGAGCTTGGCATAGTAGCCTTTCTACAAGTGCAGTTTCTGGTGGGAGTATCCCTACAACTTGCAACAAAAGTTCTGCTGCTGCTAACTGAAATCATGAATTCATAGAAAGAAGAGAATCTCTGGAGATGCCATGACAACAGTGGCCTTCCTAACCTGCAGGTAGGAAAACTAAAGATGGGACGAGGTGGAGGAGGATGGCTGGTTACTTACAACTGCAAGTTTTACAATAAAGATTGTATTTGTTGTCAGTTTTTATTGTCTCTGCGGGTAGAAAGAAATAGCTGCTAGCTGTCATTATAGTTTAGTCTCTCTGTGAGGCTGTTATCTGTTCATATTTGCTATAGATGCCATAGTTTATTTCCAATTCTTAATATTAGTTAATTGACTTTACAGTGCCTACAATAAGGAGAGAATTTCAAATGAATTTTTGACTTCAGTCCAAAGTTGGCCTGTGATTAATCTCATCTCCACACTCAACGTGAGGTAAAAATTAACAAATAATGTTGTAGGAAAAAAGCTGCAAAAGCGTGTTTTTTAAAAGACACATGCTATCAGGATTACGATGCTGTTTTCATCTGCTGTTATGATCCTCTTGCTTTCTGTGCAATCACATGTTTTCCTTGCAGGCACCAAGGAACTCTGGGGTTTAATAATTAAAAACATTCTCTATGCATTTCTAAAGAATTCAGATTTGTTTTAGGTTACTTGTTTGGTATAACACAGAATATGTGTAGCCTAGAGATTATTTCTTTTTGTCTGTGCCTTGCCTCAGGTTGAAGTGCTGAATTAAACTTTGCTTTCCTGTGACTTTGTTGGTTGCTTGAGGAGATTTTCCAAATCTTGTATGAGCAGCAATTGTCACAGAAGCTGAGTAGACTCTACAAAGAAGATACCCTTAATCACTTAGGGCTAATACAGTCTTCTTTGGCCAAGCTGAACAGAGAAACTTTTAAAACTCAAAGTAGTTATTATACGTTAGAGTCTGCAGACACAAATTAAAATGCAGCACGACAGATACTGTTACCTTGTCTGGGTTTATACTTTATTAGATATATATTCCTACATTCCTGTCATCATGAGCTATTCTCACCATCTCATTTGCACTTCCACTGATACTGAAATGTAAATTTATGCTAGCAAAATTGGATCACACTATGCAGAAAATATATTTCTACCCCAAATTAAAGTCATATATAAAGGAGGTTTTGAAGGGTGTTTGATTTTTGTTTGATTAAATTGTACTCATCAGTATTGTCTCATATAAATAGGTTTTCAAAGTGAATCATATTCTTCTTTTCCAGTTAACTGACATATTTCTAATTGTCCAGATGAATAAGCTGTGTTATATTTAGGCATTTTTCAATAGAAAGAAGCTGTAACATCAGACTGATATATCGTCTGTGGCTGATATAACTTTTTCTTCCTGATTTTTTGTCAGTTCCCATGTTGCTGTTATTCTACGCTCGCTTCTCCCAAACCTCTGCATGACTAATCTCAATGCTCAAGCCTAATTAGCTCATCTGATTGTGACAAAGTTGTTGTGTAAAACTATGAGACATTTATTGTTCCCCAAAGCCTTGGTATCATCAAAAGATGCCAGCTATGAAGTCTTGAAGTAGTACAGTGAGAAAGCCCTTGAGGAAGAGCTAAGAGCCTCAGTTATGGTTAGAAAAACATCATAAGATGGTTTAGAGTACTCCATTAGAAGACACAATGCACCACAAAATCAGTCTTTTACAGATTTATAAGATCACTTGTTGTTGTTGTTGTTTTTTTTTTTTTTTTGTTAAGACCATGAAAGGTTTTTAGTGGGTTGCTACATTACCTGCCCTTAGAGATTATTTAACCAAGCCAATCAAGCTCATGCACAAGGAGATATGATCTGTAATGTTCAAGATCAAAGATGAAAGTTGAATGTTAATGTATCCAAAAAACATGATATTATAAACCTTTCATCATACCCATGGCTCCTTTTTAATGAAAAGAGAAAGAGAGCGGTTCTTCATGGTATCTTATAATGTCTGTTAAGTAAGAAAACGCTGTTGAAATAACTAATATCAAATATATATCAAAGCAATCTCAGACTGTATGAGGATACCAGATCCAAACTACAACATGGTCAGCAATCAGCCAGGAAACAATGAACAATAACAATAATAATCTTAATCATGGGATAGAAAAAGCCTCCAAAGTCTCAAGACTATTTGTTGTACTATTTAAAAACAAAAATATCAATATTTTACCTCAGACTGTGAATCATTCCACACATATTAAAAAAAGTTGACCTCTTTATCTTAAACTCAGAATGTATTTTCATTCATTCAGAATGATTCCATTAATACTTTAAAAACGAATACACCTCATTAAATCTAAGCTTGAAACATGACATGAAACAAGACAATTATGTCTGTCTGCATGCTAACACATACAAAAACGTATACTGAAGAAAACCATACTTTTAAGTTCAGTATATAATGAAATTTTTTGGACTGATTAAACACTTGAGATTTGAACACGGTGAAAAAAAAAACCTAAATCTGACATTGCAATTGAGCCACCAA